CCCCAAAACCCCAAAACCCCAAAACCCCATCATCCTGAATCAGTAACTCAATAACTTGAAGAAGGAGAAATAAGTAAAAACACAATAAATAATTATTATTAATGGAATTGAAAAAGCCGATATTACCCAGATATGTACTCGGTTAAAGAAACTCCTCCCAACTGTAAATATGAAAATCCTCTCCTGTTTACCCCAATAATATGACTCCTATATAAGCTGATAAAAAGTTTAAAATACATCTAGAGCAATAGCAGGTAATTTAAAAAGAGTAAAGGATACCTTAATCTCCCTATTTGCCCAGCATTTCACAAGTGACAAACTACCAAAACTAACTGCAATCAAATTACTAGAGTAATGATAGTCAACTTAGAGAGAAAATTCACGATAACTTTAAAAAGTATGTGGCATAGAACATCAAAATCAAGAAAAGTGATTCAAACTTAGGTTAAATTATCAAAAATCAAATGCAGCAGCAGTAACTCTTGCAGCAACATAACATCCATTGGCAGTAATAAAATCAGTAATAGTTCTAAGGTTAGAATAACACCAATGCTGTGCGAGATTTTTACTACAATAACTTTGATTCGTTTAGAGTACAGCAGCAAGCTTAAAGCGTCCTCTAAAATCCAATGAGTCATACTCTCCCTTTGAATGATCAATCTAATTTCAACTCCAATAAATAAGTGAAGTCAAACAAAACTTCAAATAGATATCAAGATGTAAATAGAGATTTCAATAATTAACACACTCAGTCAAATACATCTCTAGAGGAATACAAGGAAGAAATTTAAGAATTATATCAGTAAAAACTAAACCTATAGGGTAATATGAGATATAAAAATGAGTTGAGTCATAAGAAATCTAAAAAGGAGCTGATTAGGAAGAAAAAAAGACCATCTGTGGCTGCTGTTGACAATAAAAAAATTAGCATCGAATAAGTTTTGAATATGGCACCCTTAGTATAAAATGGCATATCAAGCACTATAACCAATATAATTGCTGAGAGTAAGACCTTTGTAGCGAATTCGTTATAGTAAGATAGCATGAATGTGTCTACTGACGAGATATATAAAAAGAAGTAGTACTAATCAATTGAGCAAAATCAGCATTAGAAAAATAATGCATAACTTAAAGATAAACTTGTTGCTCTCTAGCACTAAAAATCTCTCATCAGAAGTTAAATATATTAAGAGATATAAGATATACCTATGAGAAATATACCAAGGCCAGATGAATATTAAATGCCTATAATAATTAGTAAAAGTATTAGTTACAATGTCTAAAGATAATAATAATAAATCTCACCATAAAGAAAAATTTACAATCAAACTAATCTCAAAGCTCAATCAAGTCTTTAGCAACCAGTTGTTCCAGTCTAACAGCAGCAATAAAACATGAGCAATTTTAATGACTAATAATCATCTGATTAGAGACATTCTAAAACTCTACCTTACGTAAGACAAGCAACTAACAACAGCATTGCCAAGAATTCTACACTCAAGCATTATGAGAATAGTATCCCTCCACTTCATGGTTAAGTAAAAGATTAGCAGCTTATAAGCATCAAGCAAAAATTTAAGCCAGATTAGCTAACTGAGGTAAAACCATCTCAAATAGCTTACTCTATCGAGAGCTCTCCTCATAAAAGATAAATCAAGCAAAGTAACACTAGTATGCATTCATACAATAATGATAATCCCTCAAATGCTCAAATGATGAAAAGATTGAATTAAAAGAACTTTCAGATTCAGAGCAGGATACCTAGGTAGAGTATACAAAACAGAAATAATGTTACATTTAAAAACTACAAGAATTTCACAAAGAGAATTTTCTTCAACAAGCGTGTTAATTACTCTGCCAGTCCTCTATTGATTTTGGTATTTGATAATTTAATGGGAGAATTCAGAAAAGGCCCTGACTGTCAAACTGAGCTTCACATCCGATAGGGTCTTATTCAGGGTATCAATGAATTGAGTTTAGACTTCTAAGTTGTTATTTTTACATCTTCTAAGGATGAACAAAAAATCAAGTTCCTGACTTAATGTCTAAGAAAAAGAAAGGCTTAAATTGATGGGGTGTACAGAGCTATTAGCAATAATACGATATTCGAAAATTTTGATTAGATTTTCCTGGATTTTTAAATTGCAGACATCACTAAGCAGACATGTATAATTTCTCCATATTACTCTGAATATGGTGACCAGGTGATACATTCTTATGATGGCTATGGGGGCTTGCATCTAATGTTCAAGAATATATGTATAAGGGAAGATTTCAGTTAGTTTGGCTAAATACCTTTATAGATATTAGTGCCGCATTTGAAAAATGAAAATACAAGTTTCTTAATGATAACTAGATTTATTGGATCAGTACTAGGTCTTAATGACAATGTCATGAATTCATATGAAAAAATCAAATACTCCAAAAAAAGAAAACAAAAGGAGCTGTATATTTGTGAGACTCAAAAGATTGGTTTTGAGTATATGATATCGCACGAAGTACTTTTGTACTAAAAGTAGGATTAAGGGAAGATAGAATCTTACATTACTCAGAAAGACAATAGCACTAAGCAGACTAGTTAAGTAAATCTAACTTAAATGATTCAAAAGCAGATTCAAGAGTCCAAGGACCTAAACTCAGTTAATAAATATCTGAAAGACATTAGACAAAATAATGAGTACATCAAGCAGCAGAGAACGAATCACATGGTAAATTACTACAAGCGTATGTCTAAGGCAAACCGAAACATGCGCCGAGATATAATAAGGCAGATAACGGATGTTAAAGCAATACAAATAAAGAATCTTGAGCTTAATGAGAATGAGGATTATGATTAGATTGTGGCGAAGGTTTAAAATAAGGTTAATCATAAGTTTATAGTGATGAGGAACAGTCGGAAGAAACAGGCTTTTGAACTTGAGAAATTAGAGCAAATGATTAGTAGAATCAACAATTTGAACTTGATTGATTGGCTCTCAAAAGCTCATAAATGATGAATAAATAAATATACATTAATTTAAGTTTATTTACTATTAATAATGGCTTATGGGGTTTTGGGGTTTTGGGGTTTTGGGGTTTTGGGG